CACGAAGCCCATGACCTGCGCAAATGTTTTGCCCGACGTGCCCAAACACTTCTGCAATATATCCTTCTTCTCCTTGCCGACGAACTTGGCGCTCAACTTGCTGAGATCTTTGCAGCTGAACCCCGCAGCGAAAATGTCCATGCGCTCGGGCACGCGGCAGTTAGCCTTGTGAAGAGAGCAATGGGCAACTCTCTTCGATATGTCGCCGAGCTCCTCGAAGAAGCAGCCCATCTTTGAAGGATGGGTGTCATGGTGAACGACGGTCTGGATGAAGTTCCTCTTCTTCTGTATCTTCTCGCAGCAGAATGCACTGATGGCATCGACCGTGAAGTGAGCATTCACCATCTTGTGCACGACCTCGGGCATCCCGGAGCCCGAGCAGCCAGTCGCCATGATGAACCCCTTCTTGACGTTAGCCGTCAGGCGCGCCTTCTGGTTGCTGGACAGCTTGTGGTCAATGCACGTCTCGATGAACTTCTTGAGCAACTTCTCCGAGCTGACGTCACTGTTGTAGTGATCCCCTGCCGCCCCCCATTATTCCGAGCCGTCCCACCGACCACTGGCAGGCGGAAGAGGATAGGAGCGAGCAGGCTGAGGAGGAGAAGCATGCGCAGCAGGTGCAGGAGCAAGGTCCTGAGGAGGAGGAGGAGGAGGAGGAGGATGGACAAAAGGAGGAGAAAACAGATAATCAGAATGAGCAGGGAGAGGAGAGAAATCATAAGGGGAAACACTAACGCTGAACAGAACGTGGCCCGCCACAACCGGCAGCGCGATGTGGCTTGACACAGCGGCTGTAAACATCAGGTGACACGCATGTGACATGTGACATGTGGCACGTAGCACACCATGGCTGGAAATATAACGTGGCTCTGGCCCAAAACAACTGGAGGGAGGGCGGGGGCAGAAGGAGGGAGGAGGCAGAAGGAGGAAGCTGAGGATGGGGATGGCGAAGACCTCCCTCTTATCTCTTATATCCCTCCTCATCACGAGGCCTTCCACTGATCCTCCTCTGTCCCCCTCCTCCCGTTTACCTTCGGCCCTACTCTTCCCCCCTCTCTCCTCCCTCTCCCTCCACGCCTCCCTCGCCCCCGCCGGCGGGCCCTGGAGACCCGCGCCAATCTGCGCGCGGCCAGGCGGAAGGGCATTGAGAACTGATGGGAAGACGACAGGGTGGACCATGGCGCGAGGGCAGCGACGACGACGTTTTCTATTCAACTGAACGATGACTGGAACCCTCAGCCTGACATGCAAAGTCCCACCCCCAAGTAGCGTCTGGCGCGCTGAGCGCCCTGGTCATTGATACCGATCACCTGGTCAGAGGCCTGGGAAGAGGAACTGTTGGAGGCACATCTGAGCTTCATCGTCCAGAATCCTGGCTTGACCAGCTTGGGCATCCTCCCTGGTTGCTTGGCGACCATGCGCGCGTTTTTTTCTTGGCCGGAGGCAATTGCAATGGCGGGATATCCCATGCAGAACCTCCGGATATATCGATTACGGAACTGGATCCTGCGAGACGCTGGGTTTCTTGGCTTCTTGGCATCAATGTCTGATCATGGAGAGTTGCCGAAGAGAACATGTCCGATGAAATTGTGCCGCGACACACTGAAACCCAAGGAATGGGAGTCAGCCCGCATAAAAACTCTATGTCCTCCCCCCCCCGCTGGACGATGAAACGAATCTCGGCCGCCCAGGGCCGAGGGCTACGAACGGAGGAAATCTTTGGGCAAGTACAGATGCAGGAGGGGAGTGTTAACAGACGCGAATGGATTGTGGGGGGCCTTCTGGGGTACCCAGGGATCTTTTGAAATCCGCAGACCCTCGCTTTCTGGAGGTGATTCATGCTGCGTCGCTGTCGGGCGAGTGGGGCCATCGGGTGCACTCCCGAGCCTGAGGGGGCCATTGTTGGGGCCATCTGGGACCAATGAGGCAATTAGGGGCCATCAGGGACCCGCGCCAGTGTTACCGGGGGTCAACGCACCGCCATTACCATTCTGATTTATCTGTCTAGTTAAAATCTTAAATCATCATCTAGTTATGAGTTATGATCGAAAGTGGGGGAAGTGAGATCGCAGTGAAGCGGAGAGCCCCCAACTAACTGGTAAATCGGTGTTGGTGTCGTGTTCGCGCGCGCGGGCGAGGCGAATCTGCGTGGACCAGCGAGAGGAGTGATGCCGCCACTGGCGAGGCCGAGGCGAGGCCATTTGCCCCGCCCCTGGCCTGTCGCACGTTGGCCAGGGGTTTCCCGCCGTGGGGTCGTGGCGACAATGTGTCGTGCCGTTGCGGTGTCGTCGTGCGGTGTCGTGGTGTCCCGTCGGTGTCCTGTGGTGTCCCGTTGGTGGTGTTGTGGTGTCGTGGTGTGTGTTCCGTGGTGTCTCGTGGGTGGTGTCGTGGTGTCGTGGTGTGGTCCCGTCGGTGCCCCGTCGGTGTCCTGTGGGTGGTGCGCGTGTGTGTGTGTGTGTGTGTGTGTGTGTGGTGTGGTGTGTTTCGTGCGGTGTGGTGTAGTGTAGTGCATGTGTGGTGAGAGGTGGTGTGGTGGCGTGGTGCCCCATGGTGCCCCGTGGTGTGGTGTCTTTGGCATTGGCCGCCGCTAGTAAAGGCCTACTTTAGTTCCCAATCCAACAAGGCGACTTTGGTCGTGTGACATGTGTGCAAAACAAAACTCACCACACGCGCGCACGCGCATTGTATGCTGAGCCATCTCAGTGACACGCGAAGAACCAACCTTACTTTCGGAATCACATCGGTCACAGCTAAGGTTTCACTTTAGTCCCCAGGCCAACATGGCGACTTTGGCATTGTGGACAATACAGAACTCACCGCGTGCGCGCGCCGTGGCGCGCGCGTTGTATGCTGAGCCATATGGCTCACGCGCAGAACCCATCTTACTTTCCAAATACAATCGGTCACTGTTAAGGGTTCACTTTAGTCCCCAGGCCAACATGGCGAGTTTGGCATTGTGAACAATACAGAACTCACCGCGCGCTCGCCGCGGCGCGCGCGCGTTGAATGCTGATCCATGTGAACGACACGCGAAGAACCAATCTGAACTTCGAAATTCAATCGGTCACCGCTAAGGTCTCACTTTAGTTCCCAGGCCAGCATGGCGACTTTGGCATTGCGGGCAATACAGAACTCACCGCGCGCGCGCCGTGGCGCACGCGCTGCAGGCTTAACTTAAACCATAGATTGGCACGCGAGGAACCCATCTTAGCTTCGGAATCCATTCGGTCATCGCTAAGGGCCCACTTTTAGTCCCCAGCCCAGCATGGCGACTTTGGCATTGTGGAAAATACAGAACTCATCGCGCGCGTGCGCCGCGGCGCGCGCGTGTGGGCCATGGGCCATATGATATGATTGGCACGCGGGGAACCCATCTTAACTTCGAAATCAAGGTTGCCACCGCTAAGGGGTCAGTGTCGCCCCCAGGCTAACATGGCGAGTTTGGCATTGTGGACAATGCAGAAGTCATCGCGCGCGCGCCGCGGCGCGCGCGCGTTGTATGCTGGGCCATATGAGTGGCGTGCGGCGTGCCCATCCCGCCTTCGCGCACCAATCGGCCACCGCTAAAGCAAGGGTTCACTGGAGTCCCCAGTCCAGCATGGCGACTGTGGCGTCGTGGGCCACGCACAACTCACCTCGCGCGTCGCGGCGCGCACGCGCGTTGCATGCTGCATGCCCATCCGAAGTTCGAAATCCAATATGCCACCGCTCAGGGTTCACTTTAGTTCCCAAGCCAACATGACGGCTGTTGGCATTGTGGGCAATGCAGATCCCATCGCGCGCGCCGCAAACATGGCGCTATCAACACACTCCATCCATGTCCATATCCCATATATGAATCATTTCCATCTCATATCACCATATAACCACAACATGATTCCGTGTTGTCATGTGACATTGTCATTTTGTAACATACAACATACATACAGCACACGCAATGCGCATCGCTGGAGGCAATCTACGTGACGCATGTAAAAGTGTAAACATTACTGTGCAGAGGCGGGCGGTGGACGGGAGGGGGCGGGGGGAGAGGGGAACCTGACCTGACAATTCCTTACGCGATAAAGCGTGAGGGGAAGGGAAGGGGAGAGGGGAAGGGGGAGACAGGGTAGCCTGGTTTAGACGGGAAACGGGGTAGTTCATTGAAGGGACCCATCAGGCGTTCCATTCGGGAAATTACACATACCCTTTTCGGGCCCATGTCCAGGCCCATGCCACGTGCCACATGTCGCGGAGTTGCAACTGGATGCGCGCGCAAACAATGTGCACGCTCATGTTGGACGACCACTGGCACTGCATGCGTGCCCAGCGGCTCTAGAACGATCGAATTTTTCCTTCCGAGTGCTAACTGCCCAGGCCTTATTCCTACCTGGTTGAATTGTCTCTGCTGCGACAATACGGAGGAGGGTGATGAAGAGGACGCGATAGAGAAGGGTTCCTCACTCTGAGGGGCCAATGCTGTCAAGAAAAGGGGCGCCCCCACTGCCTGGCAGACCAGACGCGCGCCGCACGAAGACTTCAAACAGCACCTCAGTCAAGAAAGAACGCATTAAAATGCCCAGTCGCAGTCCAGACCCTACCCCCTTTCCACCATTTATCACCCCCTCCCAAGGACCAGGGCGCGAGCTCGCTCATTCCCCGATGCAAAGCTCATTCCCCGCTGCAAAGGAGATCCCAATCATTCAGGCAACGGATGGCAGAGTCCCACGAACGCGTCCAACTGCGGAGATCGCTCCATGTGCCGGCTGCAGCCGATGGGGCATATAAGAAAGAGGGCAAATATTAGAACGGCGGAGGGGGAGGGGGATAACGAAGAGGAGAAGGAGGGAGCGAGGGGGGATAATAGGTTAGGGGAGGGGCTAGAAAAGGATCTTGTAAAGGAGGCGGGGTTGAATTATTCAGGGGCAGGACTGGATGGAGGAGAAGCTGTAAAATGGAAAGTAGAACTGCCCCAATACCTAGATTCAGGACGCGACGGGGACCATGAAAAATAGCTCAGCTCAGGCCCCCGGGGAACCTTTGGACGGCTTCTTGGCGCCAGAGGCCTTGCCCGAAGATGGCGGTGGCTTCTTGGGCGCAGCCTTGGCGCGAACGCGCTTGGCGTCGCCAGCGGGGACTTCGTCAGTCACCGCCTGCTCTGTGCCATTGACAGCAAGCGTGTCGGCGACAAGAGTGACAAGAGTCTCGCCGAGGTAGTTCACTGTAGCCTCATTATCCTTATGCCCATCCCACGCCGATTGCAAGCTGGTGCGAACTGCAACGCCAGTTTCGGATGACGAAGTTGAAGCTGAATGGCGGCACAACGAGATCAGCCCGTACTTGATCGTCTGCAGACGCGAGCACTCCAAGAGTTGCAATGCGGCATCCCGTTCGGTCTCCGGAACTTCCATCTTGAAGCGCAGGTACGTGGACTCCATCTCGGCCAATTGATTCTTGAGCGTGCCGCGCATCGAATGGAGCTTCTCCATCTTTTTCGCGGAGTAGTGGGTCATGAATTTCTGCTCGGTAGCTGGCGAATGTTGTTCGTCAATGATCAGGTCCTGAACTCCACCGCTGCTCTGCGCGAGGTTAGCCAGCACCAGCGCAGTCTGCTTGTTCTTGATAGGCTCAGTGACCGTGCACAGCTGACGCGCGATGTCGGTGAAGCGCTCAGAGTCGGTATCGTTGCCGAAGAACCAAGACATGATTGGCTTGATTGCGTCTGGGTCGCCGAGGATCTCGTCCAACGTGAAAACCAAAGACGGCTCAATGGCGTGGCCCACCTTCTTGGAGGCATCGGTGCTTGAGACGTTGATAAGGTGGGCATGCTTGCAGATCTTCATGAACTTGACTCCGGAGTCCAAGGCTTTCCTATCGTGCACGGGCGTGTCGGAATAAGAAGCTAGTTGTTTGATCGTAAACACCTTGTTGCTCCACATCGCCACAAAGTCGTGAAGCTGTTTCTCACCATTTGCACCCGAATACTCCTCAGCCGCTTTGCCCTCCGCAATCCCGCGCACGGCGTTCAGCAATTGAACGGTAGTGTCCCGGAACTTCGCCTTCTGCTCTGCGTACATAGCTGCGCCTTTCTCCTTGAAGCCGAACGAAGACTGAAGCTCATTGATCTTGGACGTCACACCCTCGAACTTGGCATCGGTAGCCTGGTGCAGCATTTGTGCGAGAACACTGATGCTGCGCCCGAGCTGCTGGGGGTCATCTGGGTTAGCCGCATGCGCGGCCATCGCCGACTGCAACTCGAACTGGCTTGCCGACAAAGCGTAAGCCGCATGGAACCTAGCGTCTAGATCATTCAGCTTCGCGACATCAACAAGGGATCCAATGCTAGCTTCAGCGGCTTCCTTAGAGATGTTGTGATGTTTGACACATTCGGAAACAATGCTTGCCACGTCGACGTGATGTTTCCTGTCGAGGTCGGAAGATTCTTGCATTGCCACCCTCAACTCAAATATGCATTTGTCTTTCGGCAAGGACTGATCTGCTACGCGTCCGACTGCAGCCGCGTGCTTCTTCTCCAATTCTGTGAGGCCCCTCTCGCCATTCATCAACAGCACTTCGAATACTCGCTTACCCTTCACTTCCATGGCCTTGTCGCCAGGGGCATCAATCATCCGCTTGATAAACTGAGCGACTGCGCGAAAGAACTCCGCCCTGTCAACCGATGAATAGATACGCCCGTTCATCTTGTCCAGGTGGGAATTCAGTGTTGCGGAGCATCCGGATGATGTAGTCTGTTCCGTGGCCGCGTCGCTCTTGGCCTTCAAGAGCGCCTTGCATTCCGGGTCGCGCAGGATGGTCGTCAAGATGCCAGTGTCAATAGTGTTCACCTTGTTGATGGCCTCGACGCGCTCTGTCGGCGACTCGCACGCCTTGCTGCTGAAAGCGTTGGCCAAAACATTGAGGTCGTTCACATCTTTCTCTGGAAGCGCAGCTGGAGCTTCGAGCTTGTTGGGTCCTAAGGTGAGAGCATACAACAAATCTCCAGCACTCTCGTCGTCCGCACTCGCGTCGGCAAGCTTGCTATGTTTGAGGGTGACCTGGATGGCTTCGACGATCACATCAGCAGCGATGTTGAACCTCTGGTCGCGCCAGTCGTCCCCCTGCAAATGCTCGTGCAAATACCCGGTGGAGCCGACGACCGAGGCGAAGTCGTCATAGTGCTTGAAGCGGATGTGATCGGCCGCCCGCTCCCTGAAGAAAAGCACCCTGAATGCAGGGCAAGGCTTCAACTTGATGTCCTCCAAGGCGGACATTGCGGTCTCCATCCGAGTAGAGTCACCCCCATGAGTCTGAGTTGATTTCTTGACATCGAAGGCGTCCAGCGCGTCGACGATAGCCTTGGACACGTTGCGAATGCCAGCCACAGCGACGTTGACGCACGATGGACACCCGACCCACTTCTTCGTCTTGATGTCCAATGACACAATCGCCTTCTGGGTGACGCCCATCTCCTTCCTCATGTCCTTATTTGCTTTTTCGAAGGAGTCACGTTGAGGCCCCAGGAGTGGAGTGTTGAAGGGGGCCGCCTCCATGTTCACCTTCGCTTTCTCCACGCTGTCCTGGAGCAGTTTCCACCCATGGGGTTCGAGAAGCTCGTCTGCAGTCTTCCCTCTGAACTTCTTCCGCACCTGCTGAAGCTCATCGGACTCTTGAGGAGACGCAACTGCAGTGGCATCTGCGAGCGCCTCAGCGACTCTGTCGCGCTTGACAGACGGAGGAGTTGGAGGCGGACCGCCACCGGTCGTGGTCGGCCGCCGGCCCTGCGCCCTCACCCCAGTGGCGCCGCTGGATGTACCAGCACTCTTTGTCGCTGTCGGCTTCGCCTTGGCAGGGTCCGTCGCCTCGTCGAGGACGCAGGACGTGAGCATCGCGAGATCATCAAGCCCGTCGTCGTTGGACTCCGCATCGCTGCCAGGCTCCTCACCAATCTCAGCCTTTGGCGCCTCGTCTTCCTCAGGCACAGCGGCCGCTTGGAATGACGCAGCGCCCTCCTGCTCCTCCTTGGTGAAGCGGGCCTTCTTCGCCAAGTGCTGGAAGGTATCCTGGGCTTGGTTGGCGCGGATCGCGGTCCCAGCCTCCAAGTGCGTCTCCTCCACCGTGGCCCCAACGATCTCCTCCAGATCCAGCATCCAGGCGCCCTCCTCGATCTGTCGGATAGCAACGACCTCCCTCCACTTGCCTTCGAGGAACTTGGTTTGGACCTTCAGCCCCTCCCTCTCGATCCGCCCAGGGAACTGCTGCTCGAATAGTTCTTTTTCCTTGAGCATGTACGGCACTTTAGTCTTCTTCTGCGTCGTCTTGAACGATTTCACCGCGGCCTGCCGCACGTCCGTCAGCTTACCGCCCCAAACAGCCTGTCGAGGGCAAAACGAGATCATCCGCCTCCTCCTTCCTCTCAGGGAAGGGGAAAGCGGAGCACTGAGAGTAGGGCAGCAGTCGATGCCCACGTGCGGGCTCGACCCGACTCGACTCGAGACCCGAGACTAGGCTAGAGTCTAGAGTCTGGTCTAGTCTAGTCTCGGGTCTCGAGTCTAGTCACTAGACTAGATTAGGAGACTAGGAGACGAACACCCAATCCGACACACGATGGGATCGGTGATGGTTCGACATCCGCGTCACCATGTATCGCTTTCCACAGCGGGACGGCAACTCGGCAGCATGATCGAGACAATACTTGTAGCAGGCGAGCCACTCGGTCATCAGCTGGGGGCCGTCCTTGGAATCCTTGAGGGCCCGGACGAAGGCGGTCCAATCCCATCCGTGTGTATCCGCAAAGCCCCCCAAGGCCCAAGCCAAGAAGCAGAGCTGGCACGACGGCCCTGATGGGTTTGTCGACGTGCCGCCTTTCCACACCACAGTGGGGCCCGCCGATAAGGGACTCTTCGCATCGGTCACGGGGTTCTCATCTGCATTGGTCAAACCGCACCCTTCGCACCTCTTGATCTTGATGTACATCACGCCATTGATCAGCCTGGGGCCTTTCTCCAGCGCCACTTGGGAACCTCGACCTCCCGAAGAAGACGCCGTCTCTGCGCTGCTTGTCATCGAGTGAGCCACCATGCCGCTCTGCACTATTGAGCTTCTTGCTGTAGAAGTGACTGGGTCAGCCAGGTACACAACAAACCTGTGAACGTCAAACGCCAGGAGCCCAAACGGCAATCGGATGAATTCGAAGAGGACGGGAAGGACGAGGAGGATGCTATTCCAGCTCGCATCAAGACTCAGTGCACCATAACTCCCCCCACAGCCTGGACGTGGACACCTCGCATCGATCATCGTCGACGGGCGGCTCCAAGACAAGTCGGGGGACAACGCAATGCGATACGTGGGGGGAGCGAGCCCAAAGATGCCGGAGTCCAGGGGGGAGGGGGGGGGGGGCAATCGCACTGGCGAGTCTAGTTCCCGGGGGGGACGCGGGGAGGGGGCAGGGGGCAGGGGGGGGGGGGACTTACGTTGGCGAGTCCAGGGGGCAGGGGGGGGGGGGGACTTACGTTGGCGAGCCCAGTCCTGGAGGAAGGCAACGGGGGGTGGTCAGGGGGACTTGGGGGACTTACGTTGGCGAGCCCGGCGCACCCTCCCGCACGTCGTGTTCGGAACATGCTCTCGAAACCGAACTTCGGTTTTTCCGAACATGCAAAAACCGAACTTCGTTTTTTTCCGAACCTCCAAAATCTGAACTTCCGTTTTGGGGATGGATTCAAAATCCGAACCTGTCGCTTAAATGAAAATTTAGCTGCTTAAATGACATTTAAGGCAATAAATGTTCATTTAAGCGATAGGTGCGGTTTTTCAGAACTGAACATGCTGTTTTATTTTCATAGGTTCGGTTTTTGGAAGTTCGTGTTTTCGGTGGTTCGTTTTTTTCGTTGGTTCATGTTTCGCTGGTTCGGTTTTGAAAGTTCTTGGTTCCGTTGATTCGGATTCGCACTGTTATCCAGATTACGACTGTCGGATTGTCAGAGTCGGGCTGCGCGGACACCACAAGATTAGCATTGAACACAATGCCTCCACAGCTTGCGAACACATCATCCAACCGGCCCATGGGACACGGATTGTGTCTCAGTTGGCAACATGATCGCACCGTCGAGCCGACAGAGATGGGTCGGTGATATATCTAGCAAGCTCACCTCACCAACATGTGGTACATGTGACATGCAATGTGCACGCCCTGCTGCGACAGCACCCGCCCGCCTGGTCCGTACGACTGCCTCGACGATGAAGCGGCGCAGCTAGCACCTCGCAGGGCGATAGGGCGGGCGGCAGATGAGGCTGAGAGGGTGGACGTAGATGGCCCCCTTTTCTCCCCCTCCCCCCCTCCCACATTGGCCCACGACGACCCCCTTGGCAATGCGACCCCACGACAGCTCAAGACTGCCCGCGAGACGCCAACGACGACCCTCAATACGGCCCAATACTGCTTTAGATTGGCATTTGGAGCCAACCCCGTGACCCCAGATGGCGGTCCTGCCGCTGCCCACATGACGATACAATCTCTGAAACCAACCCCGGAACATGCGGATGTGATGTGTTTCCCCCGCCTCCAGCTAGTCATCTTCCCATTCCCATGTCCTTCCTTTCTCCCTCTCCCCTCCTCCATTCGCCCTCATGAGTGCCCCTCCTCCATCATGCCATATGACATACATACCGTATTAAACATATGATATACACATATATATATATATATATATATATATGCATGATTATATGGTATATGATATGATGAATATTTTATAATATATTATTATATGATATGACATGACTCATATCATCATCTCTAGTCTCTCTTCCTCTTCCCTCTACCCTCCATCTGCTCCACCCCCCAGCCCTGCTGGCGGCGGCGCCTGACCCGCCATGCTGATTAGCTGGTCCATCGGCGCCTGGCGGGGCGCCGAGCGATGGAGACCAAGGCGGAAAGGCAGAGAAGAGACGGCCCTCCCCCTCAATCATCATCCCTCACTTCTGCGCCCTCAGCCAGCACTCCTCCCGCTTCCTCCCCCATCCCCTCCTACAAACGCGTCCGAAACCAAGCGCCACCAATGAGGCCCAATGCCGACCCACCAAAATGCGCCGACCTAACGCCATTTTTGTTTAAGAGCTACCAGGCGATGATGGCGACGACGACCACGAAACACGACGACGACGTACGACGATGGCTTCCCTACGCCGCGCCGGGCAGGGGATATGCTCGCTTGGCGCTCGCGGCGCCATACCACCCAGGCCGAGACAACGGTTTGAGGAATGGCGCGCACGTTACACAAGTTGTGTGTGCTGAATTGTTTAATTGAAACGCGAGGAGCTCATCTTAACTTCGAAATTCAATCTGTCACCGCTAAGGCCCTTAGCGGTGACCGATTGGATTACAGGCGTTTACCCTTAGCCTAAATTGTAAACTTCTGTTCCCAGGCCAATATGGTCGTATGGCTCAACATACTCGCGCACGCGCGTTGTATGTTGAGCCATACGACTGGCATGCGAAGAATCCATCTCAACTCCTTAATCCGATCGGTCACCGCTAAGGGATCACTTCAGTCCCCGGGCCAACATGGCGATTTTGGATTGTTGGACAATGCAGAACTCACCGCGCGCGCGCCACGGCGCGCGCGCTCGCTCGCGCACCTGTGTATGTGTGTGACTGTGTGTGTGGCCATACACACTTGGACGCTGTTTTATATGAAACCCAATTGGGAAAACCCCATGTACAATCTAGTTGTCTGATCTCAAACGAGGGTCATGTAACATGTAATTGACTCGGCGAGCATATGAAAGCTTGGACGATGTTAAATCGAAAACCAAACAAGGAAACCACTATGTATAATTTAGCGTTTTGATCCCAACAGAAGGTCATTTAATTGGCGCGCGCACAAGGTCGGCGGGCGGCGCTCCTGCGGGCTACGGTTCGACGGGCGGCGGTTCGGCTGGCGGCGGGCGGCGCGTCGGCGGACTGCGGGTCGGCGGGCGGCGGCGGGAGCCCTCAGGGTGATCGACTGACGCGCGGGTGACCCCCACTTGGGCGGGTCACCGCGCGTGGGTCAGCGAGTCGGCGGGCGGCGGTTTGACTGGCGGCGGGTCGGCGGGCAGTGCGCTTGTTCATAATGATAATGATGACCCTCTCTTGTGACCAGAACTGACTTTTACATTTGGTTTCCCCATTGGATTTTCGATTCGACATCGCTCAGCATAGTTAACCTGTTTCGTGCGTGCGCGCGCCCGCAATGCATGCTGCATGCGTTTTCATGTACTCGCCCGTATTACATAACCATCTCTCGGGATCATAACCATATTTTGTCAGGGTTTCCCCCATTGGGTTTTCGATGTAACATCGTTACAGATGTTATATGCCCGCGCACACTGCGCACGCGTGCGCACCTCGGCGCGCGCGCGTTGTATGCTGAGCTGAGTGACTGGCATGCGATGAACCATCTTAACTCCTATTAACTCTTAATTTCAAATAGCTACCAGTCCAACATGGCGACCCTGGCATTATGGACAATGCAGCACCCAGAACACATACAAACGCACATATGAGTCATATGAGGGTGAGGTGGAGGGCTCGTTTACAACAAGCCAATGCGAAATGCATCAGAACGCTCGGCTCTGGAATGGTCCAATTGTGCTCCGCCTCCCGCGCGAAGGCGGTGCGACACTCACACACCAGAACAAACAATACCTTATCACATTTGAAACGCAACGTGCATCCCTTCGCGCGCGCACCCGACGATGTTGAAACGTCGCGTGCACCTTTTACGGGTCGCACGACCGCGCACGCTGCTTGTTAATATCAGCCACCGCGCCCCCTTGACACGTTGACGCGTGCTGGAATGCCAAGTGCTGCCTGGTAGGGTGTCTGCAACGCAATCAAATGGGACTCCCTACTGTTGATCCTCATCCTCCTGCGCCCTTGCCGGGCAGACGAAACAATATCCCCTCTCCATGGTGGTCGGCAAATGGCGTACGCCTCTTGGATCAAAAGGCTTGGCGGCTTGGCGGTGGGCAGATGTCGGGGAAGGGGATGCACCATGCCACCATGCCCCCAATATCCCAGGACCTCCATCGAGCTCCTTACAACATCAAACACGCCAAGGTCTTGGACCTTGGAATTTCGAAGCTCCACTTGCTGCCCGAGTGGCCCTTCCCAATGCCTGAGATCATCAGCTCCCCCCTTCCCGCTGTTATTCCCCTTCCCACTTCTTTCTCCTCCTCCGCCTTCTCCTCGCGATCGAGGTTGGGCGTCATGGGCCCGTGCCCTGGGCCCACCCTCTGGAACAGCCGGTCAGGATAGAGCAGCAGGAGAAGGGTCATCTGATCCCTTCTCTTGATGGCAGGACAGCCGCAAGAGAGGAACGCGAGACGACGACGATGGCGACGACGCGACGACGATGATACGCAATAACAATGGCGACGACGATGACGACGACCGCGACGGACCCGATCGGCCGAAACATGTATTCCATGGAACTGGCGACTAAGGCTGGTCCTGGATCGGGCTCGAAATCTACGCTCCCCGGAACTCTCGCGCCAGATCCTGGCCCAAGTCTGCAGGCACGAAGAGCTATCCGTCAGGGTCAGCATCGTATTCGGCGTCGCCACCTGCCTGTTCCTTATCCTCCTCCAACTCCTCCTCCTCCTCCTCCTCCTCCCCCTCCTCCTCCTCCTCCGCTCCCTTGGCAAAATGACGGCGCCTCCCACTGGCCAGCGAACGTTTGTTTGTTTGCCAATGCAACGAACTAGAGATCAAGTGAGTCAAGGCCATTGACTCAAAGGGTCAACAAAGGAGGATAATTTCTTGGCGCAATTGCGCGCCAAACATTCTGTCTCAGACCGTAGCGTAGCTCGGGTGAAACCGTGATGTGATAATTTGGGTCGGAATCTCAAGATGCTCGCGCGAGCCAATGCCCGACGAACCTAACCAGTGCATCATAGTATTCCAGCGGTACGTGTTGTTGCATGCTGTGAATGCTGTACGCTGTACGCTGTATGTTGTATGCCGTATACCGTAGACTGTGCTATTACATATGTAATCGTACATGCGCCATGCGTGATGTGATGTGATGCTCGGTAGG